GTAAGGCCAAGCACAGTGGCTCACAACTGTAATCTCAACACTTGGAAGCCCGAGGCAGGTGGATCACCTGAGGTCAGGAGTTCAAGACCAGCCTGGCCAACATGGCAAAACCCCGTCTCCACAAGTTAGCCGGGAGTGGTGGCATGCACCTGTAGTCCCAGCTACTCAGGAGGCTGATGCAGGACAATCACTTGAACCCAGGAGGCAGAGGTTGTAATGAGCAAAGACCAAGCCACTGAACTCCAGCCTGGACAACAAAGTGAGACTGTCTCAAAAACACACACCAAAGCATTTACCCGGGGATGGTTGTACATACACACCTGTGTCCTAGTTACTTGGGAGGCAAGAGAGAGGATAACTTGAGTTCCAGGATACAGTGAGCCATGACCACAGCACTGCACTCCAGCCTGGGTGACTTTAAGGGAAAAACACCAAGGATCACCCTTAAGAGTGGTATCATAGGAGGTTACCGCTCAGGGGCAGACTATTTGACTGCAGACCAAGATTGATGTCCTAGCTTCAGGTTGAAAACTGGGAACTGGGTTGGGCGTGGTAGTTCTTGCCAGTGATCCCAACACTTTGAGGGACTCTGGTGGGAGGATGGCTTGAGGCCAGAAGTTCAAGACTAGCCTGGACAACACAGTGAGACCCCATTTCTAAAAAGAATTTGAGAGCCAGCGTTCTACATCATTGGGTGTACTTTCTACCTGTCTCCCCACACCTAGACTCTTCAGGGCCTAGGCCTGAAGGACATCTCAAAGTGCCTGACGGATCTCAGCTATGATAAAACTGGGATCCGTCAGTAAAAACCTCAGTCTCACCAATCACAGGACTGAGGTTTTTACTCCAATTTTACAGATGCCAAATCCAGAGTCAGGAGCATAGGGCAAGGACCACTGCCAGTGTGACAGAATCTAGGACAGAGGACTCCATGGGTGGCACAGAATGGAGTGCTGATTAGAGTCCCTAAGGGAGATGCCCACTCTCCAGCCACCTCCCTGGACAGACCAGCCATGAGGACACCAGTTGCTGCTCCAGTCAACCAAAGGGACACTTTATTGAGGCTCCAGGGTCATGGGGCCTGGGCAGGAGGCTGCCCTTCCAGGAAGGAAGAGGCTTATTTGACCTTCTTCTTGGGGCGCAGGTTGTTGGTGTGGCCACACTTCTTCTTGCGGCAGTTGACAGCACGGGGGTGCAGGCGAGCATAGCACCTGTGTAGGAAGGAACAGGAGCGGCAGGTGAGGGCACACCCCGACCCAGCAGCCCTCCCAGCCCCCAGGCACTGAAGCACGCATACTTGCGGCAGATCATCTTGTCGCAGTTGTATTTCTGGGCAAGCTGGCGGAGGGAAGGCTCAATAATGCCACCTCGCAGGCGCAGCACCAGGTGCAGGGTGGACTCTGCAGGAGACAGCCAGAGGGACGGCAACTGCCCGACTGAGCCCAGCCTTAGCTCCTCAGTCACAGGGCAGGCCTCCAGGGCCCTACTACAGTCTGGGGCTTTCTCAAGTGTGATGGGGACACCAAGTCGAGGTCCCCAGAGTGTTCTACGTGTGGAAGATACACTGTCCCAGTCAGGCCTGCCCCACAGAACCTCCATCCCAGCACTGACCACAAGCCCTGGGGGAGTCTGAGACTGACACATGCCAACTGAGGCATCCATCTGGGTTTTCTGTCTGAGACTGACACATGCCAACTGAGGCATCCATCTGGGTTTTCTATCATGGAAGCCAATTTCTAAGTGGTGCAGGTAAGGTAAAACACTGAAGTCTAGGCCAGGCACAGTGGCTCACGCCTGTAATCCTAGCACTTTTGGAGACTGAGGCAGGCGGATTATGAGGTCAGGAGTTTGAGACCAGCCTGGCCAACATGGTGAAACCAAATCTCTACTAAAAACACAAAAAAAAAATTAACCAGGCATGGGGTCAGGCTCCTGTAGTACCAGCTATTTGGGAGGCTGAGAGAGGAGAATCACTTGAACCCGGGAGGCAGAGGTTGCAGTGAACCGAGATCACGCCACTGCACTCCAGCCTGGGCGAGAGTGAGACTGCCTCAAAAAAAAAAAAGACACTTTTGGGAGACTGAGGTAGGTGGATCCTAAGGTCAGGATTTCAAGTCCAAACTGGTCAAGATGGTGAAATCCCGTCTCTACAAGTGACACTAATTTCTTTATTACAGTGATAAAAAATTTTCCATTATTATTATTTTTTGGAGACGGAGTCTCACTCTGTAATCCAGACTGGAATGCAATGGCGCTGATCTCTGCTCACTGCAACCTCTGCCTCCTAGGTTCAAGTAATTCTCAGGCCTCAGCCTCCCAAGCAGCTGGGATTACAGGAGCACGCCACCATGCCCGGCTAATTTTTTTTTTTTT